ATACACAGAGCTGGATAGATTATTACAAATTGTAATCCGTTACTGATTCCAAATTACATGACAAAAAATAAGTTCCGTTGCCGGGCCGGGGAACCGGGACAAGGCTACAAAGGCTCCTCCGTGGCCTCCCGAATGGCCGGCACGGCCATAGCCTCCTGAACTGTCTGCTCTGCCTTGGCTTCCTAGTCTGCCTGCTCTGCCATGGCTTCCTCTGCCTGCACCGCCATGGCCTCCTGAACTGTCTGCTCCGTCATGGCTTCCTAGTCTGCCTGCTCCGCCATGGCTTCCTAGTCTGCCTGCTCTGCCATGGTGCCCCAAACTGCCGGTTCCGCCATGGCCCCCTGAACTGTCTGCTCCACCATGGTCCCCTGAACTCACTGATCCGCCCTGGAGGCTCTGCTTGTCTCGCCACTGTTCCAGTCCTGCACCAGCCTCTAGGGCGCCGCCCCCCCCCAATGGTACTTTTACGGCGCGGGACGCGCCTTCCGGGAGGGGGGAGTAATGTTAGGGTTATGCTTAGTTTTTGTTCTGGTTTTCATTGTGTTTTCAGTTAGCCTGTACCCCTGTGACCTAGTTTTCCTTAGTCTCCTAATTGTCATTTTGTTCACCTGTGTTTGATTAATTAACTCATCAGTTCCTTTGTTTGCTCCCCTACTTAAACCCTGAGTTCTCCCTTAGCCTTTGCCCGTTCTACTTTAAGTTTAGTTGTGTGTTTTCTTGCTGTTTTCCTGCTTGTATTTATTATTAAATCAAGATTATTGGAATTGCAACTTTTGCCTTCGTCTGCCTTCCTACGACACAGCGTAACACACGTGTTACAGTGCCCCCCAAAAACACAATCAAGCCTTTCGAAAATAGCTGGTTGACCACCCCTTTAAAGTAAATACATGAGGTTCAGATGACAAAAAGTTTGAGAATGTCTGCATTACATGTAAATAATGATTTTAAAAGACAAAAGCCTTTCAATAATACATAATAATACATGGTTAAATAACTTACTGATTGATAATTCAAATAAAAATGAATCTGTTGAAGTTAATGTTGAAACAGTAGTTGATATTAAATGTTGAAACGCTTCTTAAACCTGAAATGTTTTTTTGTAAATCCAATGGTCAAATTCTGTGTAGCCACCTGACTAATGATTGATCTCTGTGTGAATGTCCACAAAACTGGACTTTCTGAGTTTATATATGCGGCAGGCTATTTTAGAAAGGAAAATTTCAAAGATGAAATAGAATGAGAGAGAATCAGTTAATTATGAATAATTGATTGCTATTGTGTGAATAATATGTAATCATGTAATCTATAAAAAAAGTAACTGTAGTCTGATTATGAGTATTTTAAAATGTAATTTATATTTATAATCAATTTGGGAAACAGTTGTGCTGCTTCATTTTTATTTTTTTGGAACCTGTGATATTTTTTTTGCAGGATTCTTTTATGAATAAAAATAAATAAAAAGAATAGCATTTTTTTTCAAAATAGAAATCTGGTGTTAATTGAAATAATATTTCAGAATATTACTGTTTTTTTCTGTATTTTTGATCAAATAAATCAACAGCCTTGATGAGCATCAGATACTTTGTTAAAAAACTTTAAAAAATCATATGTGACCCTGGACCACAAAACCAGTCTTAAAGGTCAGTTTTTCGAAATTGAGATTTATACATCATCTGAAAGCTGAAAACAGTAGTTGATATTAAATGTTGAAACGCTTCTTAAACCTGAAATGTTTTTTTGTAAATCCAATGGTCAAATTCTGTGTAGCCACCTGACTAATGATTGATCTCTGTGTGAATGTCCACAAAACTGGACTTTCTGAGTTTATATATGCGGCAGGCTATTTTAGAAAGGAAAATTTCAAAGATGAAATAGAATGAGAGAGAATCAGTTAATTATGAATAATTGATTGCTATTGTGTGAATAATATGTAATCATGTAATCTATAAAAAAAGTAACTGTAGTCTGATTATGAGTATTTTAAAATGTAATTTAGTACTTATTTTTTTAAATCTGTTACTAACTAGCTCAGTATATACAGGTGCATCTAAATAAATTAGAATGTCGTGGAAAAGTTCATTTACAAATTCTGTTTTAATATATTTACAGTAGGAAATTTACATAATATCTTCATTGAACATGATCTTTACTTAATATCCTAATGATTTTTGGCATAAAAGAAAAATCAATAATTTTGACCCATACAATGGTTTCCACGACATTCTAATTTATTGAGATGCACCTGTATAGACTCTGAACATCTAAATGCCCTCTTGACGGGTTTCCTTGAATTGGCTCAAATAGTGCTTTAAATTGAGATTCTCTGAAAGGATTTTGTGTTAATGTCATGACTATTTATATGACTATGGAACAAAATTCTTTTTGAAGATTTTATGCTGACATTTGTCAAATAATGCTCAAACCCTGAAATGTCAAATGCCATTACATTTCTGAGAAACACATCCATTAGTTTGTCATCCTTTGTGTTTAATATCAATACAGGAAATTCCTAGAAGACCTTGATTAGTGTTTGATAAAATAATTTTGTTCTTGATAGAAATGAGTCATCTTGTATTCTGTATCCTAGAGCCATGTCAGATCAGATGATGAATATTCTTGCACACACTCCTTTAAACTTTGTGCAAAGAGCACTGACAGAAAGTTCAAGAGAAAAGAGAAATCTTCTTGTGTACCTGAGTATTAATATGAATAAATAGGCTGTAGTTACATACTCCAAGGAAAAGAAAGACTTTAATATGTATAGCTTTTTAAACTTTATGTTAGCACTATACTACCATATAGATGACCTCAAAGGAAACAGACATGGATGCCTCTTCATGCTTTATTATATTGTATATGCAGTGAAGCATTATATATTGAACTCTTTAATGTCATTGAATAGGGGAGAAGATTTTCAGCTGTGTGAAAATTTATTGGTTTGTCAAATGGTAAATGGTTTGAACTCACCTGCACCATAGAGGTTTTAATGACTCGACTCACATCAAGCCTCCATTCAGCTACATCAGGGTTGTGATCATCCAGGTTAGATGAAAAGGCAAGAAGATGAGATCTGAAGTATTCTGTAATTACAAAAAAAAAGTATTTGTTATTGTTAGTTTCTGACTACTGCACTGCAGTAAACCTGTGCAGCAGCATTTGCTTTCAATGTGTATTTACTGTATGATATAGTACTTAAAATGCAACATGAATATGGTTTCATTTTGAGTTTTGACATTTCTGAAGAAAAAAAAGAAAATAAAACAATTGGCTTTTATATTAAAATATAAAAAATAACAACATTAACATAATTGTTTTTTATTTATTTTATCATGTTTTTTTTACCATACCATTTACCATTGCTTGTATGCTTAACTACAATAGTTAAAGTGTTGATTATACAAAGAGCAAAGAACAAAACATATTTCGATAAATCGTATTGCTCATATATGAAGCTATCTTCAATACCTAGCAGTCTGTTTACTTGTTGTGTGTAAAACTCACCGTGGACAGCGATGGTTTTCCTGTCTTGCAGGATGGTATTCCCAGCAGACACCTGTACAGTGACAATGCTGATTCCCTCTCGAGAGAACGTGAATGCAACACTCCCCTCCAGTGTGATCACAGGCTGTGAATACAGTTTGAAAGAGACTCTCAAGAGGACACCCTGTCAGCGCAGTTGCAGTGAACATGCCAACTTTATTTACATGGCAGTCTGTGAGGCAAACACACACACACAAACACAGAGACACAGACTGAGTCATCCACAGGTGTCTAGTGAGTCACACATGGAGACTTTACCTCTGAATTGTTCCCAAACCACCAAATATAGGTGACTGTTCCCACTTGGCTTGGCGAGAGAACCACCGTCAGATTGACTTCTTTATTTTTCACAGCGACAAAAGGGGTGGAGAGGTGAATAGACTCCAGTTGACCTGCGGCGAGAGAGAAAGAAAAGAGAAAAGTTGGTTGGTTGAGCCGAAAGAGTTTAACAGTGTTTGCTAGTTCTCAAATCTTGTTCACTTCCTCACATTTAAACCTGCTGTGTTAAAGACAGATGAGAGAACCAATAAAGTTTGTTTCATTTTAGTGATAAAACTAGATGAAAAATGTGTAAGAATATATTTATTTTAGTATAACTTGACTGCTACATTAAATTGTTGACAAAAGCATCAGCTAAATTATATATAACTGTATACTGTATATATATATATATATATATATATATATATATATATATATATATATATTCTTGATATTACTCAGAAAACAGGATTCAGGTTTAACTCATTTGAAATACTTCTACTTAATGTTACACTGCCAGATATGCAAAAGAAATCTCTCCTCTGGCTACTGTGTATAGACCACCAGGGCCGTATACAGATTTCCTAAAATAATTTGCAGATTTTGCAGGACTTGCAGGACTTGTGTTTACAGACTTAATGAACTCTTTTGAAGTCAAGCAAAACATAACCAGACCCACTCATCGTTTTAATCATACGCTAGATTTAATTATATCGCATGGAATTGATCTTAATTATATAGATATAGTACCTTAAAGTGACAATGTTACTGACCACTACCTTGTATCTTGCATGCTGCCTATTACTGTTATTAACTATATGGCTACGCATTATATTCCGGGTAGAACTATTGTCCCAACCACCAAAGATAGATTCACAAATAAACTGCCTGATTTATCTCAACTGCTCTGTGTACCCATAAATACACATGAACTAGACGAAATTACTAGCAATATGGGCACTATTTTCTCTAATACATTAGAAGCTATTTCCCTCATCAAATTAAAAAAGGTTAGAGAAAAACGTACTGTGCCATGGTACAACAGCAATACCCATTCTCTCAAGAAAGAAACTCATAATCTTGAACGCAAATGGAGAAAAACTTGGAAGTTTTTAGAATTGCATGGAAAAACAGTATGTACAGCTATAGACAGGCTCTAAAAGCTGCCAGGGCCGAGCAAATCTGCAAACTCATAGAAAATAACCAAAACAATCCAAGGTTTTTATTTAGCACAGTGGCTAGATTAACAAATAATCAGATGTCACCCGAACTAAATATCCCCTCAGTTTGGTAGTGAGGACTTTATGAATTTCTTCACTGATAAAATAGATAGCATCAGAAATACAATAACAAATGTAGAATCATGTCTAAAATTTTAGAAGATGTTGTGTCTGCTCAATTGTGCTCCTTCCTGCAAAAAAAATTATATCTATGAAGAATTTCAGTCGGGTTCCAGGCCCCATCATAGCACAGAAACTGCACTTGTTAAAGTTACAAATGACTTGCTTCTTGTGTCAGACCAAGGCTGCATCTCTTTGCTAGTTTTACTTGACTTTAGTGCTGCGTTCGACACTATAGATAATGACATACTCATAGATCGATTACAAAACTATACAGGTATTCAAGGGCAGGCTTTAAGATGGTTTAGATCCTACATTTCTGATCGCTATCACTTTGTCTATTTAAACGGGGAATCATCTCAATTAAATCCAGTAAAGTGTGGAGTGCCACAAGGATCTGTCCTGGGGCCTCTACTATTTTCAGTATACATGTTGCCCCTTGGTGATATTATTAGAAAATACGGGACTAGTTTCCATTGTTATGCTGATGATACTCAACTATATATTTCAACAAGACCAGATGAAACTTCTAAATTATCTAAGCTAACAGAGTGTGTTAAAAATGTAAAAGACTGGACGACCAATAATTCGGATAAGACTGAGATATTACTTATTGGACCAAAAAACAGTACACAGAATCTCGTAGATTACAATTTGCATCTAGACGGATATACTGTTACTTCCTCTACAGTCAAAAATTTGGGTGTTATATTAGACAGCAACTTGTCTTTTGAAAATCATATTTCCCATGTTACAAAAACAGCATTCTTCCATCTTAGAAACATTGCCAAGCTATGAAACATGTTACCTGTTTCTGATGCAGAAAAGCTAGTTCATGCATTCATGACCTCTAGACTGGACTAGTATAATGCAGGTGGTTGTCCTGCATCTTTAATATACAAGCTACAGGTAGTCCAAAATGCAGCTGCTAGAATCCTTACCAGGTCAAGAAAATATGGTCATATTACCCCAATTTTACATTCTCTGCACTGGCTACCTATTAAGTTTCGTATCAGTTACAACATATCACTACTTACTTTTAAGGCCCTAAATGGTTTAGCTCCTGCATAACTAGTCTTCTATCACGCTGCAAGCTCATCATTGATGTTAATAGTGTTCACCGTCTGTTTGATTACATGACATTAACTAACTGCTTGATTTTTACCATACATTTCTGCCATATGGACATCAACTTGAGATAGTCACCACTGATAAGCTATTACTAAATAGAATGTAGAAACTTGAATTTTCTGTAAAGCTGCTTTGCAATGATTTGCATCGTGAAAAGCACTATAAAAATACATTTGAATATAATATAATATAATGAACATTTTTCTCAGACTACTATGTTTATGTTCAGTTATTTCACTTTAATTGCAATAAAAATAACCTATTCATTGCCATTAAATAGTCATAAAAAAGAGTCATAACAATATTCATATGACAAGAGTCATAAGTAATGGCTGCTAAAAATTCAGCTTTGCCATCATCACAGAAATAAATTACATTTTGAAATATATTCAAACAGAAAGCAGTTATTTTAATCTGTAATAATATTTCACAATATTAATGTATTTTGTATTCTACATAAAGCCAAGGTAAGCTTAAGATAATTCCGTCACCATAAATAAATAATAACAAATTAAAATAATAAATAATTAAAAAAAATAATAATAATAAAAAGTGGGGGGGGGGAAAAAGAGTAGTTATACGATATATTCTCACATAATTATATATGAGCAAATTATGGTAGAATGTGGTTCTTATTTGTGACCAAAAAAAGAACAGCCTTAAAGTTATAGCACAAGCTAAACATCCTCCAAATGATATGAATAATGACATATATTCATTCATTCACAAATACTTCTCATAGGAACACAGAGCCATCTGCGTGTGAATTTCAGCTCATGCTCCAGAGGCCCAATTTGCTTTGCCTGGCACGACAGGATTGGCAGATTGGAAGCGTTCCGTCTCCCTGATCAATATGTCACTGCGGAGGCATCTGTCTGCCTGAATGTAGCAAGGGGTGGCAAGTTCACTGAGTAGGTGGTCATGAGAAAAAGGGTGAACATTTGAATCAAAATGCTTAGTTAATCTCTGTTAAACACTGATATTTGATGAGCTTCCTCTAGCACGGACACAGACTACAACCACTAAAAAAAGCTAAAACTCAGGCCATCTGCTCGTAGAATGTGTTAAAATAGCGTCTTCCAACATCATTGCTACATAGGATAGAGTTGTCTGCTCAAAAGTTTGTAAAGCCAGAATTTTTGATTATTGGCATAAAGTCTAATCCATATTCTGGCCAAGAACCACCTACGTGAACAGGAATAGGCCGTTTGACCAACATGTGAAATGACCAACCACACTTTTCTTTTCTTATTACAAAACATCAAAGGGTAAGTACATCTGAAATTGATGCTTTTTAATGATTTCTCACAGTCTGTAGAGACAGCATGAAGGCAATTCAATAATTGGCATTAACTATATATTAAACAACAATATTAAACAAGCAAAAAATGTGGTGACATTTTTTTTAAATGCTACTCATAATGTAGCTGTGCATTGTCATAAGACGTCAAAGTAGTTTTAAGTACAACCTGACAGTAAATATAACAGTTCGATGCTGTTATTCACTTAAAAGAATCGTTCATTAGAGTCATTTGTTTGGAAATCGGTTGGATTACACTATTCACATTGTATAATTTTAATTTACTAAAAAGTATTGACTCATAAAAGACATTCGTTTGGCCATCAGACTATATAGGTTTTGCTGTTTGTTTATGATTCACTAAACAGAACTGACTCATAAGAGTCAATCATTAGAGAATCGGACTAATGTTGGCATTCTGTGCGTTTTGTGCCATAAAGAATCACAAAAATTAGAATCAAATATTACATTTACATTTAGTCATTTAGCAGACGCTTTTATCCAAAGCGACTTACAAATGAGGACAATGGAAGCAATCAAAATCAACAAAACAGCAATGATATACAAGTGCTATAACAAGTCTCAGTTAGCTTAACGCAGTACACGTAGCAAGTAGGGGTTGAACGACTTCTGATTTTTTAAAGTCGACTTTTATGTGATGAAAGTCGAGTCGAAGTCGACTAGTCACTGATGACGTCATTAATGAACAAATAAGTCTGGAGCTGTGATAAACACCTTGTGCACAGCTATGGCATATGACACAGCGCAGCCCACATGGCTATTGCTCCTATAACCGCAAATTTTTAACAGTTATTTTGTCTTTGAGTCGTTATGTTTCTCACAGATTTCTGCTCGTTCTAAATCAGATACAGATAAAGTAGCACAGTAAAGATTACATTCGTATGAATGCATTAGTGAGAGCAATTGCGAATCTGAATTAATTCTACCTGGCAGCATCTCTCTACTAGTAGTGAAGTTGTGGGATTTAGTTATTAAGAAATATATGCCTGAACTTTTCAGTTTTAAAGCTATTTTATTGAGAAATCACAGACCAGTGTTGACAACAGTGCTGGGCAAGTTACTCTGAAAATGTAATCAAATTACTGATTACTCCTTTGAAAAGTAATCACGTCACTGTTCTGATTACTTTATTTCAAAAGTAATTAGTAATTAGTTACATTACAAGTTACGTTACCTTTTTCTCCATGAAATTTATGAAATCCCAGCATACACGCTCCCGATAAATATTTGTTATTAAAGCATCAACATTCACAGAACACTGTTAGTTTTAACTAAAGCAAGCGGCTGCTGCCTGCATGGTTTGGCATGGCAGCATGCCAGCAAAGAGCGCTGCATTTATAATCTCTAAAAGACATCACAGTTCATCGCAATCTCACAAATCTCTGTTATAACACAATAAATATGTGCATAATCAGAGGCGGACAGTAACTAAGTACATATACTTGAGTATTGTACTTAAGTACACTTTTTGAGTATCTGTACTTTACTTGAGTCTTATTTTTTCTGGGAATTTATGACTTTAACTTCACTACATTTGAAAGACAAATATTGTACTTTTCACTCCACTACATTTCTATCAAGACAGCATGATACTAGTCTAAAAGGGGTTAGACTTTTAGACTTTATTATTTTTTTTTATAAAGATTGGAATTAGAATAGAGAGTGCTAGAGTTAGTGTCAAATAAAGAGATGGAAGAGATGTGTTTTTAGCCAATTCTTGAAGATGGCTAAGGACTCAGCTGCTCGGATTGAGTTGGGCAGGTCATTCCACCAGTAGGGAACATTTCATGTAAAAGTCCTTGAAAGTGATTTTGTGCCTCTTTGTGATGGCACAATAAAGCGACGTTCACTTGCATAACGCAAGCTTCTAGAGGGCACATAAGTCTGATGTAATGAATTTAGGTAAAGGGTTGCAGAGCCAGTGGTGGTTTTGTAGGCAAACATTAATGCCTTGAATTTTATGCGAGCAACTATTGGTAGCCAGTGCAAATTGATAAACAGAGGTGTGACGTGCATTATTTTTGGCTCATTAAAATTAATCTTGCTGCCGCGTTATGGATTAATTGTAAAGGTTTGATAGAACTGGCTGGAAGACCTGCTAAGCATTGCAATAGTCCAGCCTGGACTGAACAAGAGCTTGAACAAGGAGTTCTGAAGCATGTTCCGAAAGAAAGGGCCTGATCTTCTTGATGTTGAATAAAGCAAATCTGCAGGACCGGGCAGTTTTAGCAATGGGGTCTGAGAAAGTCAGCTGATCATCAATCATAACTCCTTATAACTACTTATAATGTGTACTACTTATAGTCGTATCTCAGGAGTATTATGAGCAACATAAGAGTCAGCTGTAAACTGTTTGTGTTTGATTCAATTAAAAGAATCGCTCAGAGTAATTTGTTTGGAAATCAGTTGGATTGCACTGTTCACAATGTATGGTTTTAATTTTCTAAAAAAAATAAATGATAAGAGACATCAGTTTGGCAATCACACTATACAGGTTCTGTTGTATGTTTATAATTCACTAAACAGAAATGACTCATAAGAGTCAATCTTTAATAGAGAATCAGACTAATGTAGGTATTCTGTGTGTTTTGTACCAAAAAGAATCAAGAGAATTAGAATTAAATGGGCCTATTCCAAATAGTTCTGCAATAACATAACAAACCTTTCTTGAATTAAACTCTCAAATATATTTTTAAATAACATTAAACAAGAAAATAATAATTCATTCATTTGTATAAAATATTACTCATAATGTGTATTGCTTATAGTCATATGAAATCTCAGGAGTTTTATAAGCAACACAAGAGAAAAATGTAAACTAATAATATTTGATTAACTTTAAAGGGGTCATATGATGCTTTTTTAAAGATCATTATTTTGTGTATTTGGTGAAACAGAATATGTTGGCATGCTTTAATGTTCAAAAAACACATTATTTTTCAAATACTGTACATTATTGTAGGTCCTATATGCCCCGCCTCTCTCAAACGCTTAGTTTTCTACAAAGTCCCTCCTTCCGACAAGCACAGTCTGCTCTGATTGGCCAGCTGACCCAGCGCATTGTGATTGGCCGAACACCGCAAGCACTCATCGGAAATGTAACTCCCCTTACCATAATCGCGAGCTTCATCTTTCAAAATAAATGTAAAGACGGTAAATAACGTCATTAGTTTTACCATCAGTTCAAGCCCAAAAGGGGAACAGACGCAGTAATGATGCAGTACACAAGCCGCGGTTAAGACAGCTGACTCGACCCCTTTAAACGAATTGGTCAAAAGAGTAATTTGTTTGGAAATTGATTTGACTACATTGTTTGTGCTGTATGGTTTTAATTTACTAAAAATAACTGATTCATAATTCTTAAAGTTACATTACGTAAATATCATCAGACCTTGATCATATTTTGGGTCCTCGGGACCTTCATCATACACTGAAGTGTCTGTCGGCAATAACTAAGAGGGATGATTCCAATCTCGTGGTCCAGTTAGAGACTATAAGCTTGAAATCTAGATTGCTTAATGTGGAGCACAATACGACCAAGGCCAAATGAGATTTTTCTGGTCAATAAAGCATAAATGAGTTCAGAGTCCTCAGACCCAGTGGGTCTTTAAAATACATTAAGGATATAAAAGTAGAATACGATATGGTTGTCTGTATTGTGCATATTGTTACTCGCCCTCCCATATCTTGGCTTACACGTAATGTGTAGGAAGAGGAGCACTGTTTCCGAGCCCAGACTGTTCTCCGCCGTGGCTGACACTCGGTAGATTCCCACGTTCTTGTAGATGTGTTTAATGCCATCCTCGATAGAGCTCACGTTGGAGTAGGTGAAAGCGTTTCCGTCGCCAAAATCCACTGTGATGCTGGTTTTCGATCCATCACCCTGGGAAAAAAGGGTAATTACGTGAAACATCGAGTCTAGTTTAAAAAAAACACACACACACACACACACAACCAGGCTGGTGAACAAATGTTCTTCATTCAGAGAACTTCCTGTAATATCTTAGAATTGTTCCCCTTTTTTTTAGGCAGAAAGCAAAACTGTTCATGACTACGATACTGGCAAAGCTCTGTCTACAATTCATTCATCTGTCAGTTCATCTGCTTTGGAGGATGTCTTGTCTGTCCCAGACCGCTGATAAACCATGGGAAAACATTGCTCTTGTACAGGCAAGATGGTCTCTCATGATTTCTCAAAATCTCACGCTTACAATGCCCAATTTATGGTGGATGAGGGTTATCTCTGTACTTTGGGATTTAACAGTAGGTACTGTAGATAAATTGTAACGGTCGCACTTTAGTTCATACTATAACCAGTTCTCACTATAACTAACTATGACGTTTGCCTCAATAAACTCGTCATTTGCTGTTTATTAATAGTTAGTAAGGTAGTTGTTACATTTAGGTATGGGGTAGAATTAAGGGATCTAAAATATGGTCATGTATTTCCAGAGTGATTATGTTAATGTGTGAAGTTGTGGACATGCATCACAGAGCTAGAGAAAGACGAGCATTTGTGGTTAAAAAGTAAATAAATTTATTTTTCTTTAGAAAATGACAATCATTTCACTAGATAAGACCCTTATTCCTTGTCTGGGATTGTGTAGAGCCCTTTGAAGCTGCATTGAAATGGCAATTTGGACCTTCAAGCCGTTGGCTCCCATTGAAGTCCACTATAGAGAACAATTCTGGAATGTTTTCCTCAAAAACGTAATTTCTGTTCGACTGAAGAAAGAAATACATGAACATCTTGAATGACATGGGAATTAATAAATTATCAGGAATTTTTTTATTCTGTAAGTGAACTAGTCCTTTAATATCTTCTTTGTTCTTTGTATTAATAAACAGCCAATATGCCAGTAAAATGCATGCTAATACGCAACTTGTAAATAGTGAGATTTGGTTCGTAAAACAAAGCATTATGGAGTCGTTTGTTTGTGAATGACTACACTGGTCACAATAGCCGGGTTTCCATCTAAAGTTGCGAATTTAACTTTTGTGCAAAATTGGAATATCGCATAAAACTTTTGTGAATAAGCACCATTTCCATTCAACGAGTCAGAGAGAACAAAATTGTCACTTCCTGACAAACTGGCACTAAATATCACCAAAAAAAAAGTAGGAGAAGCCACTGAATATAATAATTTTCATATAAAATAAATTACTTGCGCCTTAGAGCGAGCAGATGAAACACAATAAATGCGGTAATTGTGGAAATTTTTATTCTGGAAGTGAACTTGTCCTTTAATATGTTCATTGTAAGTATTAATAAACAGCCAATATCCTAGTAAAATGCATGCTAATACGCAACTTGTCAATAGTAAGATTTGGTTTGTAAAACAAAGCGTTACTGAAGTTGTTTGTTTGTAAATGACTACACTGGTCACAGTAGACGGGCTTCCATCTAAAGTTGCGAATTTAACTTGTGCACAAAATTGGAATATCGCATAAAACATTTGCGAATAAGCACCGCTTCCATTCAACGAGTCAGAGAGAACAAAATCATCACTTCCTGACAAACTCGCACTAAATATCACTAAAAAAGTAGAAGCTACTACATACAATAATTTTCAAATATAATAAATTACTTGCGAATGAGCAGACGAAACACAATAAATGCGGTCATTGCTTTCAGAGGTGGATGCCCGCTGTTTCTGGGAGGCAATAATACAGAAATACTTTGAAGACAAACTATGCTCGTGCATTTAAGAATAACCATAACAACATTTCAGATATTGTGCAAAAAGATCTGTCCACTGGTTAGTCAGGTTATGCGGTCCCATCGCGCAAAGTCAACTTACTTTTTTGATGTGCATGTAGGAATTTATTCGCAAAATGCATTTCCATCTCCCATTATTCGCCTTAACCCTTTTTCGCACAAGTCAGAAACCACCTCAAGCGAGCGTAAAAAACTTTTTTGCAAATTAAGGGATTTTTTTCTAAATTTGGTGTTTCCATCCCTCGTTTCTGATGCGATACTTCAAAATGTACATAACAATGGGGTGATGGAAACATAGCTAATGACTGTTAGTTTTCATAAGCAGTCAATTGGAAATATGTGTTTTCTTGCTATTATTTTGCCGTTGTTTTATCTGCTCAGAATGCAAACTCACATTCCCTGAAAGAAAATGTATGATTTTGTCAGCTATAAGCAGTGCAGGAAACACTGAATCTTTCTATACCTCCTCCAGGAAGACGAGGAAGGTGACGTTGCTGGCAATAGTAGCCGTTAGCTTCCCTTCGCTGGTCACTAAGTGAAGGCCGCGAGGGGCCTGGCTAGGGCACAGGTGCCTACGAGCCGTGTACTGCTCTATCACCCCTCCAGTGCAGTTATTAGACACCACCTTTCTGTACCTGCACACAGACAGACGAATAACACACATTCAAAAGACACACATTTATAAACCAGTTCTGAAGCTCCAAAACAAAATGATCAGTTGACAACATTGAAATTCATTAGTCTGCTAATCTGCTACAGTGAAAATTCAACATAAAAACATACAACATTTTAAATGAGTCATATATCAAAATCATTTGAGAATGCAGATGGCAAACATGTTTAATTGAAAATCTCACAAACACATACAGTACTGTACAAGTTTACTTAGCTATCTAAATGGGAACATTGAATAATCACTTTAATGGATAGATGCATACGTCACATGAGATCTCACCCAGTGCTGTTGAGGTACGTGTGTTCTGTAGTACAGGTCCGAGACATGGAGGAGGGCAGGAACCAGAATGCTGGAGTACATTTTCCATCAGCCCTTCTCTCGAAGCCATAATCACTGTAAAAAAAACATGGTGAGAACAGACATGAGTTCTCTACTCTTTGACATTGTGTTAAGTCATTTAACACAATCATCAGACCGGTTCTCACACCACTAAGCTAGAATCCCATTGGTCTGAAAAAGGCCTTTCTTAAAATAAATAAATAAATGAAATAAAAATATTTTCTAAATTGTAAATACATTAAACAAATTTTACAAGAGAATGCATTAAGAATTGTTATGCTTAATTCAGTGTGTTAATTACCATTTCTTTAAAAGTATTTGTGAAATAAAGTAGCAATTTCGGAGTGAAAATTGTTTCCAAGTAAATCCTACACCATTTTTTTTTTTTCAATGTATGTTTGGTCAAATAAACACTGATATTTGTCATCTGTAAAATATTTACATTGAGAAAGCCTTTTATTATATTGAATTCAAATTAAATATTATTATAATTATTATTATATTATATTGAAGCCTTATATTGAAGTCAAAGTGCCAATCTTCCTCGCTATGATTAACATGAATAATTCTCACTTTTATACGAAAATAATTATAGCTGTCAGGAATAATATTTATTTAAAGCAAAAGTCTAAGTGTAACTCACTTTATACTTATTTACTGTAAATAGACTAAATATTTTGTCTTACTGGCAAGTCAAGAAAATTCTTTAATAATAATAATGCCCGTTACATGCTTTAAAGCTTCTTTATTTCTTTGCAGTCATATAACATTTAATTTCTAACAATTTATAAAAAGTGTATAGCAGCCAGCAGTTAAAGTGCTAGCATCTCTCTTTCATGTTAACATTTAACAAATAACTCAGAGAAAGACATATCTTTGTATTCAAATGCATGGAAATCTTTGTCAGCATAAAAATACTTTCGGCATCCACTTTTATATGAATTCATTTATTTTTAGACCTAACTGTCAAACAACAGAAGCCAAAGTTGTTTGTCCTACAATGCAACTCAACACCCCAATCAAGAAAACAAATGACACTAATTACCATGACAAGCTACACAGATGTAGCCAGCTTGTGTTGGTGGACGCACAGCGTTTCACTCCCTGATTAACAACTTTCACACTTTGTTCTGTACGGCCTCGAGGGGCCTGCAAATTTGGAACTTTCCAGAACAGTGACATTAATAACTTTGATAATTCAGGGGGAAATGAGGAGAGAGGCCACATTTACATGATGAGAAAAGACTGCTAGGAATACAAATGGAGAGTTTAAGCCACAAAGCGCGGGGCGTGACATATTACAGAAGATAGGATGGTTGACAGATGGAGACAACAGTACTACTATTGAGGAACTGTGATTTTTAAGAAGTAACACATGTCTTTCTCCATTTAGCTGTCTTCACACAGCTTGACTAGTTTCCACACAGCAAAGACTGCAACTCTTCTGAAAATGCTGATCTTGTGAGGACAAGCCACAACTTCAATCCAGAAAATTGAATTGCTCAAAAGTTGCTTTTACAGCTAGATAGACTTAATTGAGTTTTCATTTAGGTATCAACTTTGTCACAGATATTTCTTCAAACATTTATTTTGAGACATCTGTTGACATGCACTAAAAGTTTGGGGTCGATGTCTTTAATTTTTTTTGAAAGAAGTCTCTTATGTTCACCAAAGCTGCATTTATTTGATCAAAAATACAGAGATAAAAAAATGTACTATTAATACAATTTTACATAAGTGTTTTCTATTTGAATATATATTTAAAATGTAATTTATTCCAGCCATGATCCTTCAGAAATCATTCTAAGTTGCTGTTTTTTTTAATAGAATTATTTAATGAATAGAAAGTAAATGTAAAAGTTTAAATTAAATTATAACATTATAAATCTCTTTACTGTCACTTTTGATCAATTAAATATGTTTTTTTTCTGAATTAAAATGTATCCTCCTTAAAATAAAATAAAATAAAATAAAAATCTTACTGACCCCAAACTTTTGATTGGTAAATTATTATATGTATTAATTATTTATTTATCAATCAGATAATTAAAACATATTTTGCTGTGGTTTTTCATACTGACATATCACAGTGTTAGAGCAGTCTGTAGTTTTAGAATAGAGCTTGAATCTATGAAGAAAGGTGCTTGTTTACTTACCACTCAAAGTCCGACTCAGTGCAGTCACATGGCTCGGATATCATTGTGACAGAGTAGGTTTTACCCATAACACACCTTGCTATGGGCTTCAGCTTTCGGTAGACTCTTCTGACTCCCATGAGGCAGCGTTCACCCTATAAGCAGGATTTCAACATATACATATATGCATGCATACACACACACACAAATATTTTCTACAATAAAGTTGGCATATGGTGTTCTCGTTCAGGTTTATTTTAGTTCTCGCATGAATAATTCATAACAATGAAGCATGTGTGCATCACCCTGAATTTACAAAAAATAAGAGACTGGAAAGTAGACGAGAGAAAAAAAATGTTTCCACTCATTGTACTTGGTTGTTCCATATTTCATATCTCACATCCAAACTCTGTGGGGTTCATTTTGTCAAAGATTTCAGACTTCTAGCCTCTCACTAACATTTCATGTGTCTCACAATAACATTTTTTGCCTAGTCTTTTGTTAACATGCTTCCTTTAAATTAGTGCTCCAAATACTGCAGTTTTATTCAGATTTGTGCTAGTTGAATGGGAAAAAAAAAAAAAAAATTTTACAGCTGCGGTCCATTGCTGGTCATGTCCTCTTTTTTGGATTTCATATTTATCAGACTAACTGGTGCAGAGCGGAGCAATAAAACCCTACAGCACAGGACGGTTCAGATAGACACCGAATGGCTTGATCTCATCAGCATAGTACTGTAGTCTACAGCCCAAAAGCTGGGTTTTAACCATCCAAACTTTGACATTGTTCTGTCTTCTGTCGACTTCTGTTGTATACAAGTTCGCTTCAGCTTCTCAGAGTTTGTCACAAAAATAGAAAGTACTATGAGGCTTCAGGTTAAAGTAGGACAGTCTACTGCCATGTCCTTACAACTAATAAACGTACATCTATTATCCTCCTGTGAGAGGACACTTGGCTTCTGGCTTGACTTCTGAGATATGTATTATTCTGTTCAAATATAGTCTCAGCAGCGGACCCTGGGAAAGAATGTCAGGGCGGGTTAGAAAGGAATCTTGTAAATTTCAAAAAACAGAAAGCCAATGCGAAACACTCTTTAGTGCAATCTAAAGCATCAGGCCTCACTGGAGAGTTTATTATGCTGGAAAGACCAGACAAAGCAGAAAGGTATCTGATCAAGACTGTACTGGCCTCTCTTAATTTTAAGGCTTGAGATGCAGTATAGAATCTGAGTTGAGGACATTAATGACATTAAGATGGGGAGATTTGTTTACAGAGGCCGTGTGATTGTCACAATGGAGCCCGAGGGAACTTGGAGCAATTTATTTCATACTTTTAATCAAAGCTAAAAATGTCTTGCTTACGTACGTAACCCTCGTTCCCTGATGGAGGGAATGTGGACGTTATGTCGTGACGACATTAGGGGATTCACTTGGGAGTCCCAATCATCTCTGACATTAAGGGAAAACGCCAAATTAAATTTGGCTAGTGGATTTTGCATACCTGCGCTACTCCCCGTGCATACGGGTATAAATAGGCGACAGGTGCATCCACTCATTCAGGTTTTATGCTGAGGAGCCGAGAACTTGTCCCAGGCAACCAGAGATGGTTCGAGGTTGTGGCATGGGGACATAACATCTCCGTTCCCTCCATCAGGGAATGAGGGTTACGTACGTAACCGAGACTTTCCCTATCTGTCGGTCAGTTATGTCGTGACGACATTAGGGGTCCATGGAAAGCGCCACAGCCTGAACCCCGTCACAACCCTATAGCATTGCAAATATTGACAAGCAGTCGCGTGTCAGACAAATACTACGCAAAGGTTGTAACCTTCCCACCGCCCCAGCGCAAATCCGCTGACCTTGTTACCCGTAGGGACCAAAGGTGAGTATATCGCTGCTGGTGATAGCCAAGCCGCTGTTCCTTTCAACACTGAAATTTCTTAACAAAAGGGATTTCAACCTTCAATGAAAGATTGCTTAAAGTCTTTCCTATTTGTTGTTACAGCTCGGCAGCAACAATGGGGAAGCAAGCCTTCCTGAGAAGGGCACTATGGAGGCCACATCTTACTCGTAGGGAGGTATCATGTGGAGGCTCAGATATGGACTGACCCAGGCCTGGGGCAGTACTACATAAGGAATGGGTCTCTGAGGCAGGTTCTACCTGAGAGTAGTGATGGAACGACTGCCAGCAGAGACGGACAGAACTGGTCTGTCAAAGGGAAGACACGGATTTACCAAGGGGGAAACCTTACCGTGGAAGAATACACATATGGGATTGCCAGCAGGGAATCAAGCCATATGGACACCTAGCCCAGTACAGGGGCTGACCGGAGACCCGGGCAAGCTAACACCAATACTGGGCCTGGCGTTAGACTGCTCCACCCAATCTGACTGCCGGGGTGCTGGAGGAACAGACACTGTGCAAGGTCAGGGAGGATGAGGAAAAGGTCCTGCTGGTTGCGCCATACTGGCCAACCCGGACCTGGTTTCCAAGCCATATGGACACCTAGCCCAGTACAGGGGCTGACCGGAGACTTGGGCAAGCTCCCCCGGGATGTGGACAGTGCGCAGGGACTTGAGCCGCGTCTGACTCCAGAGGAAGAGATGGCGGGCGAGCTATGACATGCGATGTGATCATAGACCTCCCTGCCGGTTGATGTAAGAGACAGCCGCAGTGTTGTCCGTGCGGACCAACATGTGCTTGTCTTACAGCAGTGGCCAGAACTGCCGTGAGGCAAGATGCACTGCCAACAGCTCTAGGCAGTTGATGTGCCAAAGCAGTCGAGGCCCTGTCCAGAGCCCTGAGGCTGCCTGCCCATTGCATGTAGCGCCCCAGCCCGAACTAGAGGCATCTGTCGTGACAACAATATGTCGAGCCATGCCCATCTCGGGACTCTGGAGTGTAACCAGTGCTGAAGCGGTCTCATATGAAGCAACCCGAGCAGTGTGACTGCGGCTGCCATATGCCCCAGGAGCCTCTGAAATTGTTTCTGCGGAACCACCATTCTGCCTCTGAATGAACTCAGGCAGTCCAGCACTGACTGGGTAAGCTCGTTGGTGAGACGCGCTGTCATACTCAACGTGCCAGCCTAGGTGTCGATTCAGTATGGGGCGGAGCAGCTCTGGAAGATGCAGGAGGGTGCCCATGGCAACAAGCAGACTGAAGCCTGGCCTGCGGGGCAGCGGTGGCTGGTGGTGCATCCTGCCGAGGCAAGATGCGCTGGATGGCCTCGGTCTGCTTCTGCACTGCCGAGAACTGCTGGGCAAAGCCCTCGACAGTGTCGCCAAACAGCCCAGCCTGGAAGAAAGCATGCTTTGTCTACGTCTTTCATCTCTGCCAGGTTGAGCCAGAGATGGCTCTCTTGGACTACCAGAGTGGACATCGCCTTCCCGAGGGACTGCGCCGTGACTTTCGTCGCCCGTAGAGTGAAGTCAGTTGCCGAGCGCAGCTCCTGAATCAACCTCGGGTCGGTGTCCCCCTCGTGCATTTGTTTCAGTACCTTGCCTTGGTGCACTTGCAGGATAGCCATGGCATGCAGGGCAGAGTTGGCCTGGCCCGCAGCACCGCAAGCTTTGGCCGCGAGAGCAGCCATTAGCTTACAGACTTTGGACGGGAGACGCAGACGATTCCTCCAAGTGGCGGCGTTTTGTGGGTACAGTTGCACCGCAATAGCTCTCTCCACCTCACCAGGGTAGTGAGGACGGAGGAGGGAGACGAGAGGCTTCTGGCCGTAAAAGGGGCCATCCACGACTTCGTCAGCTCCTCATGCACCTCTTGGAAAAAAGGCAGATCACAGTTATGAGCCCCAAGAAACCAATCATCCAGCTGTGAGGGCTCGGAACTGGGCGGTCTGTTGACCTCCAGCCCGATGCTCATGGCTGCCCGGGCAAGCATGGCCGTCAGCTCCAGGTCTGATTTAGCGGCGGCCACAACACCCGAGGGGCACAGCCCCACCGGACGATAGCCCATCCCTGATGCTGCGATCGACATCTGATCTTCCGGGGGTGCACCGAATTAAATGCTGGCAGTTCCGCAAAGCAGTCCATCGAAATCACTCGGGAGCCAAACGGGACAGACGCTGCATGAGGAGTAAGAGGTCCGTGGGGGCTTGTCCGGTGGAGAAGCTCTTACTGTGACCTCTCAGATCTCCCAGAGTGCCAGCCGACGGTCCTCTACTCGAGCCAGAGAGACCGGGACAGGTAGCGGCAGAGGGTGCCTCTCTTTTCAGAAAAGAGAGGGAGATCACAACGATGCCATGCTCATTCACCCACAACAGGCGCATGAGTCATCCACGAACGCAGCTTCAGCATGTTGGATGCCCAGACACTGAAGACAATGATTGTGTCCGTCAGAAGCAAAAATCTGAATGAGTGGATGGACCTGTCGCCTATTTATACCCATACGCACGGGGAGTGGCACAGGTATGCAAAATCTACTTGCCAAATTTAATTGGCATTTTCTCTTAAAGTCAGAGATGATTGGGGCTCCCAAGTGAATCCTCTAATGTCATCACGACATAACTCGAAGTGGCCGACAGATAGGGAACTTGTTTGTTGTTGGCGACAGAGACTCAGATTACAGTTTGCAATCTTAAAACATAAGATTATATAAATTCAATATGAAAAGTAATTTTTTGACCTTTCTATTAATTGGGTTATATATTTTTTTTTTATTCTATCAAACGTGTGTATGTGTGTGTGTGTATTGCTTCAAATAAAACAAAATTCAATTAAAATATTGCTTCAAGTAAAAAAATAATAATTATATTATTTTACAAATAAAAATAACTTTATTTGTACTTTTTTATTTCTTTTAGCTAATTGTCAAGGCAATATTTCATTCTCACTTAGTTTAACTTGTTTAACTAAAACTATCATTTATATGATACTATGTCTAATTTAATGGAATATTCTTTTATTTAAAAATAGATATTGAAGTAAAAAATTAAATTGAAGACATTTTAATTTAAACCAGTAATATTGGAAAGTTTGTGAAAATTTGATGTTTTTATATTTGTTATATCATATATTCATCCTTTATTTATTTGTTTGTTTGTTTTTTTGTTTCCGCATTTTCTTTCCTCCTTAAAGAGATCAATATACAACACTGTGTGAAACAAGGATTTAGGCAAATATTCAGATTGGGGACCCAAATGCTAAAATACTAAAATAATTTCTCACCTGGTCATGTAAATCCCACGGCACATAGTCAGACTCGATGCATCTTCTGTTAAAGATAGACCTGAAGTCTATCTTTACCAGCTGCCATTCTGAGCGGTGACTGACATGACCGAAGATCCTGCAAACAAAGGCACAACATCAGCCGCTGTATGTCTGGCGAGCAGTGGCATATCGAGAGCGCAGCGACTCTAATGATTAGAAAGATGTAGAGCGGACAGGAAGAGGAAATGCTTATCCAAGTCAAACCACATCAGTGGAAACCTGCGTCAAACTGTCAACAAAAAGTCTGAAACTCACATTGAGAAAGTCTGACAGTGTGACACTTTTAGGCCTGACAGAAAGATAGCAGAAAGTATCTAGGAATTTCCTACAAAGGAAAACTTCATGAAATACTTCTCAAAATAATTTTAGGTTGTGCTGGATTCAGGATAATGTAAAATCAGAACTGGCATGATGGTTTTAATGATTTGCCTTTTCAAATAGGTGAGTCATTACTGGAAGGTCTAAAAATAAACCATTTGCTTTATCATTAATTTCTTTATTTTTATCACCAAGCAAATCAAGCAAAGCACTGAGCATTTTATTCTTACATATTTTTCACAATTACCATTTATTTATATGAAAGTAAAACCTGTAACTGTGACAGAGCTCACACTGTAACATAAAGTCACAATTATGAGAAATAAAGTAGAAATTTAAAGTTATAAGTACAATATATAAAGTTGCAATTATGAAATACAAACTCACAATTGCTTACAATAAAGTATACACATTTATAAAACGTTTAGTTATAAAATATACTTGTATTATAAAGTATAAATTAATATACATATATTTAATATTAATTTGCTATTTTAATTTGTTTAATAAAAACAGACATCTTAATCTTACCAGCAGTGTTGGGGAAAGTTATACTTTTACTAATGCATTATAATATTGTGTTACTACCTAAAAAAAATAACTAATCACGTTACTTAATTACTTGTGTATATATATATATATATATATATATATATATATATATATATATATATATATATATATATATATATATATATATATATATATATATATATAAATTTGCAAAAGTAAAAGCCCTTTCCAGCCATTCTGGATTGCATGAAAAAACAATAAAAATATTTAAAAAAAAAGAAACACAAATGTTGTTTATATAAAGTCATTTTTTTGCTTGATTGAATTGGATCAATGAATGTCAGCAGCAAAGACACTAGTTAATAAAACGGGATTGGATACATATAGCCTATTTGTATTATTTAACATATTTAATTATTATCATATTTTTTGTTTGGAATTCCCTGTTTTTATTCATTTTGAAGAACAATGAATCTGTTTTATGTAAGTGAGATGAGTAAATGCATGATAACAATTAATGTAGAACTAGTAACCATCATGTTTACACGGCACACACAACATCTCTGCACTTACTCCTGATTTCTCTCAACATGGGTACAGCAGAGCTGTCAGTCAGTAAATGGGAAAACAAAGTAACTGTTACTTATTTGAAAAGATGACTTAAAAATTACAAAGTAATAGATTACTTTAGTAGTTACTTGAAAAAAAAAATCTGATTATGCACCTTGTGATGTGTTACCCCAACACTGCTTACTAGCCACCTTATTAGGTATACCTGTTCAACTGCTTGTTAATACAAATATCTAATCAGTTAATCACATAGCAGCAATTCAATGCATTTAGGCATGTAGACATGGTCAAGATGTTCTACTGAAGTTCAAACCTAACATCAGAATGGGGAAGAAAGGCTATTTAAGTTACTTTGAACGTGGCATGGTTGCTAGGCTCAGATGGGCTAGTCTTTCAGAAGCTTCTGATCAACTGTGATTTTCACGCACAACCATATAGGGTTCACAGTGAATGGACAGAAAAAGAAAAAATATCTAGTGAGCAGCAGTTCTGTGGGTGAAAGTGCCTTGTTGATGTCAGAGGAGATGGCCAGACTGGTTTGAGCTGAAAAGAAACAGTAACTTAAAGAACCACATGTTACAACTGAGGTATGCAGAAGAGCATCTCTGAATGCACAACACATCAAACCTTGAAGCAGATGGGCTACAGCAGCAGAAGACCACACCAGGCGTCAATCCTGTCAGCTAAGAACAGGAAACTGAGGCTATAATTCACAGAAGCTCACCAACAGAAGATTGTAAAAAGGTTGCTTGGTCTGGTCTCAATTTCTGCTGCGACATTCAGATGTTAGGGTCAGAATTTGGAGTAAACAACATGAAAGCATGAATCCATCCTGTTTTGTATTAACGTTCAGGCTGCTGCTGCTGGTGTAATGGTGTGAGGATTTTTTTTTATTTTTGGCACACTTTGAGCCTCTTAGTACCGATTGAGCATTGTTTAAACGCCAGAATTGTTGCTGACCATGTCCATCGCTTTATGACCACAGTGTTTGATCTTGTAATAGCTACTTCCAGCAGGATAATGCACCATATAATAAAGCTCAAAGTATCTCAAACTGGCTTCTTGAACATGACAATGAGTTCACTACATTCAAATGACCTCCAGATCTCAATCCAATAGAGGACCTTTGGGATGTGGTGGAACGGGAGATCCGTGTCATGGATTTGCACCCAGTAAATCTGACGCAACTGTGCGATGCTATGATGTCAATATGAACCAAAATCTCTAAAGATTGTTTCCAGCACCTTGCTGGCTGCTATGTCACAAAGAATTAAGGTAGTTCTGAAGGCAAAAGCGGGACCAATCCGGGACTAGGAAGGTGTACCTAATAAAGCGGTCAGTTAGTGTATATATTCTCTTTCTATATATTATTTTCTAGCTAGATAAAATGGTAGCACTATATTTATGTTACTATGTATGTCTAACAAAGATGTTCAGTCCTTCTTCAGGGTGAAATAACCATGGAAGCCCATTTCTGCCACTGAATAAAAAATAAAACAAAAGGTGATTGCAACTTTTTATCTCACAATTCTGGCTTTTTTTTCTGAGAACTGCGTGATATAAACTTGCAATTGTGGGTTATAAAGTCATAATTGTAAGATATAAACACACAATTCTGACTTTTTTCAGAAATGTGTGATATAAACTCACAATTGTGGGTTATAAAGTCATAATTGTAAGATATAAATAAACTCACAATTCTAAGAAAAAAAGTCACAATTGCTGGATAAAATTGCAATTCTGAACTGTGAGAAATAAAATCAAAATTCTGTGAAAAAAAGTCAGAATTGCAAGTTTATCTCGCAATTCTGACTTTATTTCTCACAACTTTGAGTTTATCTCTCTATTGCGACGTTTTTTCTCAGAATTGTGTTTATATCGCACTTGTGACTTTTTATCTCAGAATTGTTTATATCGCACTTGTGACTTTTTTTCTCAGAATTGCCTGTTTATATTGTGCCATTCTGACTTTATAACCCACACTGCGATTTATTAAGTCAAAATTGTGAGATATAAACTCGCAATTCAGAGAAAATTTGAATCTTTTTTCCTCACACTTCTGAAAAAAAGTCAGAACTGCGAGATAAACATTTTATTTTATTATAAAAAAAAAAAAATTATTCAGTGGCGGAAACGGCCTTCCATACAATAACAAAACAAATCATGTCAGTTAAGGAAAAAGTGACAATGCCAACACTGAGTTAATTACTTTGAATTTACTCCAATTCTTTGAGGACATTCACATAAACCGTATTTCATCAAGCACCATTTTCTCATTCCAGAAAAAATCTAAATGTATTACTATTGAATATTCATCATACTTACGTCATTATAAGCGTTTCCTCGCCCGGTTCGCCCAAGACACCGTCCACGAACAGGGGCGATGAAGTGAAACTGTATTTGTTCCACACCCTCCCCTCATCAAAGCTCAACCTGCATAGAAACCAGCAGCACACAGCTGAAACTACGATGTAGTGTAGAAAAGATTGCATTTTCACACACAGCTGGCAAATAATTCAAACAGGACTTTACTGCACCTTTCCGACATTTAATCTAGATTACTAGACAAAAGTATTACACAGTCTACTGGGTTTAATGAGAATGTTCACACTCCCCATGATTATGTGAGTCAGCTCGGTGCGATTGCATTGACTCATCTTTTACGAACATACGCATTGAATATTAGTAATGATTTTGGTGTAGGATTACCAGAGGTGCCTGATGGGAAGAGGGGTGTGTCTAATTGCCACTAAAGCTCCACCTTGATCCAGATACAGCACACTGTACTCTTCGTCAAATATCTGGAATAGACAAAGAATGTATTAATTATATGCTGCTCCATTCATTTTGATATTCTCATTATATGCAGTACTGTATTAAAATACTGCATACAATATAAAACATACAATATTAAAAATATTTAGTTTCCTTTTTTCTCAATTTAGTGAGCATGGGATAAAATTGTAAGTAATTTTAGTACTTTGGTTTGAGAAGATGTTGCCATTTTTATCATGCCACCAGCATGCTAACGTTTAAAATATAAAACAAGGTAATTTATAAAGAAATACTCCAGGTACAAATTTTCAAAAGGTTTTAAAAAGGCAAACAAACATATTTTCTTTGGAATATTTGGTAATGAATTTATAGGTTTTTCCTATGACCTTAATTTCACTTTCCATCATTTTAGACATTATTTTAGAGGGAAAACAACAGCACACACATCAGTGAGTATTAGCAATTTGATGAATTCATGGAAATAGTATTATTGCTATTAATAAGTTTGTTTCATTTGAAAGTAGGGCTGTCAAATCAATTAATGCAAAATAAAAGTCTGTGTTTACATATACATAATATATGTGTAATATAATATACAGAATATAAATCAAACACACACACACACACACACACATATATTTATATATATATATATATGTGTGTGTGTGTGTGTGTGTGTGTGTGTGTGTGTGTGTGTGTGCTATATATACACTATCAGTCAAATGTTTTTGAACAGTAAGATTTTTTTTTTTTTAAGAAGTCTCTTCTGCACACCAGACCTGCATTTATTTGATCCAAAGTACAGCAAAAGCAGTACAATTTTTAAATATTTCTACTATTTAAAATAACAGTTTTCTATTTGAATATATGTTTAAAATGTCACTTATTTCTGTGAATGCAAAGCTGAAATTTTAGCATCATTACTCAATTTACATGTTCCTTCAGAAATCATTCTAATATTCAGATTTGCTGCTCAAAAAAAAAAAAATTCTGTCATGACAACTCTCGGAGGGATTGGCATGGTAATGTACATGACGATGTTAATGTAGTTGGTCTTGGCGGAATAGATCTGCTACGCTGCTGCGGCAGAGCAAGTACCGAGAGTGGAGGGTTTCTGAAGCAAGCTACAACTGCAAGCACTAGTCATATATTTGAATATTGAGCAGTGAGCTCATTGGCTACCGGTACAGGAGATGTGTGTGTGTGTGTGTGTGTGTGTGTGTGTGTGTGTGTGTGTGCTATATATACATATAAATATACACAGTAATCACACATAGTATGTAAACACAAACATTTATTTTGGATGCGATTAATCGATTTGACAGCCCTATTTTAAAGCATTCTATCCTGTTTGATGAAATTATATAAACTTGGAAACTGATAATATAAAACTTCAAAATACAGCTAAAAATCTAAATAAACTTTAAGGAACTTGTCAGCTAACGCAAAAGCAAATTTGTGTACCTTTTGAAAAAAAATGTATTGTCCCAATGACTTTTCTTGTGAGAGTACACACAAGCATATAATTTTATATAAATACAGAGCTCAAAAGAAAAAAAAACAGCCTAAAAGCAATGGCCCCATCCAATCGCCATTACAGAACCGCTAGTTGCAAACATGTATGAAACAAGAAAATTGCCTTACGGAGAAAAATCCAGCCAGATGCTAGGTTGACCTACTGCAAAGTTGAACTGAAAATTGAGGCCCTCATTAGCAGTTTACATTTGTTTGCCCCAGAGCTCTGATAACTGCACTGTATGTGCTGTGAATTCTTGCTGATATGAATTCCTGTTGAGTTTAGGCCTTGGGGCTTCAAGCATTTAGCATACACAAATCTGTTAAAGTGAAGGAAAAACACCATCTGATTGGCTTAAGTACTTCATGGGCTAATGATTACGAGGCTAGTGTTTATGTTAGCGGGATACTGTGTGGGGTCTGTTTTGTTTTCCTTGGAAGACACACTGGAAGAGTTAGGTCAACCAAGCTACAACCACACTAGAGTCATTATAACCAAGAAATGCATCTGACCCTAGGTGCTTGATAAATCTTTAATAAATAAGGACTGTGTATTTCTGAAAAAAAATTGCTGGTTTAGTGCCAAAATTTAAAGAAAAACTTCACATTATGTACTTCTGCTCATATGTGTCTCAGGGCAATGTTACATATGTTCCCGTGTTATTTTCATTCATAATGTCAGATTGGATGAGTTATGACAATATTTCATATCCTTACTCTTCTTGGGAGGGCTTTCAATTTGATTAGATGAAAGCTGGCAACCACAGGTCTGCTGTCCTTGAAATTATGCTATTTCTCAAATCCCAGTGATTGTAATTCTTACCGACAAGATATGTGACATCAAACCCGTGCCCTACACAGCATGCTTTAACTTTTTGCCACATCAATTTTCTCTTAATTATTTGAGCTCTCCATTTTTAATTAGACAGCTGGCCCCATAAATTTAAATCGCATCATCAAACATGCACCCACGGGCATCATATATGTCATTGAATTTAGTTTTCTCTGAAGGTATCATTTGATTATAGGCTCTGAAATGCGGCACATGGATTTATCCGCTCAAAGATATGCATCAGTGCTGAAATTACTGCCCAGCCCCATCTGGCTGAACACCCCACGGTCAGAGTCACCTGCCGCCACGTGTTTCCAGCGTCGGATGTGATGAACATGCTAACGTTGCTGCTCGTTAACTCTGCGCCGATTGAACCTATGGAGAGAGGAGCAGAACAATTACAGTCATGCTTACCAAAGCAGATAGAGAGTTGATAACTAAAGCTATATGAATATGAAGATTGAGTGGATTGTGCCTTTTCGCATTGCAAAAGTCATACATACTTCATTCCAAAAGCTGGAAAGTGTTTTATGGATTTTGTCACGATTTGTATTTCTCTTGATCGTTCACCCACAATGACTACATTCCATTATTAGTTTGTGATTACTAATGTTGACTAGATTAGTTTGAAGGTTAGAAAATGCATGTTTTCGGACTGTAAAATGCATGGGCAGCAACAGAATATCATATATTCTCTTTCACTTTTACCCATAATGTTGTAATGTGTGTAATATTCTGTGACAGAATAACTCTTATGTAACTTAGTTTGTTCCATTATGTACAGCAGGATAAAAGGGAAAAAACTGTTTCAATGAGAAAATGGATGGACAGATCAACGAATGGATGGACAGAAAGATGGATGGATGGATGTATAGAAAGATGGATGGATGAATGAACAGACAAAGATGGATGGATGGATGGATGGTTGGATGATGGATGGATTGACAGAAAGATGGATGGACAGAAAGATAGATGGATAGATAAATGGATGGATGGACAGAAGGATAGAAGGACAGATCAATGGATGGACGGACAGAAATATAAATGGATGGATGGATGGACAGAAAGATAGATGGACAGATCAACAGATGGATGGACAGAAAGATGGATGGATTTTGTTCAATTATGTACTGCAGGATAAGAGAAAAAAACTGTTTCAAAGAGAAAATTTCAAATGATGCGTGCATCCATGCATTTAAGGGATGGATGGATGGACAGATAAAAGGATGGACGGACAGAAAGATGGTTGGATGGCTGAATGGATGGACAGAAAGATAGATGGACAGATCAATGGATGGACAGACAGAAAGATGGATGAATGGATGGATGGAATGGGTGGATAGATCAACGAATGGATTTACAGAAAGATGGATGGATGGATGGATGAATTGACAGAAAGATGGACGGACAGATCAATGGATAGATGGACAGAAAGATAAATGGATGGATGGACAGAAAGATAGATGGACAGATCAATGAATGGACAGACAAAAAGATGGATGGATTTTGTTCCATAATGTACTGCAGGATAAGATAAAAAAAATCAAAGAGAAAAATTCAAATGATGCAATGAAAAGATAAATCCATGCATTTAAGGGATGGATGGATGGACAGAAAGATGGTTGGATGGATGAATGGATGGACAGAAAGATAGATGGACAGATCAACGAATGGATGGACAGAAAGATGGATGAATGGATGTATAGAAAGATGGATGGATGGATGGATGGACAGATAGATGGACAGATAAAAGGATGGAAGGACAGAAAGATGGTTGGATGGATGGATGGAATGGACAGAAAGATAGATGGACAGATCAACAAATGGATGGAAAGATGGATGGATGAATGAATGTATAGAAAGATGTATGGATGGATGGTTGGAACGGACAGATAAAAGGATGGACAGAAAGATGGTTGGATGGATGAATGGATGGACAGAAAGATAGATGGACAGATCAACGAATGGATGGACAGAAAGATGGATGAATGGATGTATAGAAAGATGGATGGATGGATGGATGGACAGATAGATGGACAGATAAAAGGATGGAAGGACAGAAAGATGGTTGGATGGATGGATGGAATGGACAGAAAGATAGATGGACAGATCAACAAATGGATGGAAAGATGGATGGATGAATGAATGTATAGAAAGATGTATGGATGGATGGTTGGAACGGACAGATAAAAGGATGGACAGAAAGATGGTTGGATGGATGAATGGATGGACAGAAAGATAGATGGACAGATCAACGAATGGATGGACAGAAAGATGGATGAATGGATGTATAGAAAGATGGATGGATGGATGGATGGACAGATAGATGGACAGATAAAAGGATGGAAGGACAGAAAGATGGTTGGATGGATGGATGGAATGGACAGAAAGATAGATGGACAGATCAACAAATGGATGGAAAGATGGATGGATGAATGAATGTATAGAAAGATGTATGGATGGATGGTTGGAACGGACAGATAAAAGGATGGACAGAAAGATGGTTGGATGGATGAATGGATGGACAGAAAGATAGATGGACAGATCAACGAATGGATGGACAGAAAGATGGATGAATGGATGTATAGAAAGATGGATGGACAGATAGATGGACAGATAAAAGGATGGAAGGACCGAAAGATGGTTGGATGGATGAATGGATGGGCAGAAAGATAGATGGACAGATCAATGGATGGACAGACAGAAAGAAAGATGGATGGAAAGATAGATGGATAGATCAACGAATGGATAGAAAGAAAAATGGATGAATGAATGGACAGACATAGATGGATGGAGAGAAAGATGGATGGATGGATGAATGGACAGAGAATGATGGATGGAGAGATGATTGGATGGATGGACAGAAAGATGGATGGATGGATGGATGGACAAACAGAAAAAAATATATATAAACAGATAGACAAACAGATAGACAAATGGATAGATAGATAGATAGATAGATAGATAGATAGATAGATAGATAGATAGATATTTACAGCAGCAAATGCATCATGTGTAATGAAATCAGAGTCTGACCCTGTGAGGTAAGTAGGAGTTCTAGAAAACCTCTCTATCTAATAAGCTTAGCAACTCAGGAAATCTGTGGCATCTCCACAACCCTTCTGCCATCAAATCAATCAACTAAACGTCAATTTAGAGCCAAATATCTAATAGTCGCTCTCCTCCTAGGATTACTTATCCAGATAGTTACAGTGCCAAGACATTTATATTTCATCAGCGTGCATCCGGAGGCAATACAGTCGGCGAGCGTCGCGGAAGACACAAGCCTGAAGGAGTAAAATGAAAAAGTCACAAGCGCTTTCAATCTTATAAAATAAACATTTGAAGTTTGAAGTGGTGGAAGAGTCAGTCGGTTGTGAAAACAGAAGATGATGGAGAGAGAATAATAAGAACGCTCTAAAGACTCTCTGCCGCTAATCTCAAGAGTAGCACTTAGCATTTCCATTTGTTTATGCTAGCACGACACTAATCTTGTTTATAGTCCATATACAGATGCCTGCGCTCCACGAGCGCAAAATGAATGTCTTCAACAATAACAGTGTCATAAGCGCTCAAGATGAAAGGAATTTAAATATGCTTCGCTTCGGAGTTCCAGGACAAAAAAACGAACTGATGTCAGGGATTTAAGGAAGAATACAAGAACTACACACTTTAAAAAGTATTTTCTTCTTCCAGTACCTGTCATCTAGACAATTTTTCTACCTGTCTGTAACCAAAGCAAAAATACAAATAATCCTTCAGTATTCAGTTTTATTAATCTTTTTCTAAATATGTGTCTTCAACTTTGAAATGCTTCTTTAAAGATTAAAGGAGGATCCAAAATTGGAATGATACATTTCAGGCACATTTTTAAAAGGCAGTTCCAAATTAAGAAAGTAAAGTAACCAGAGTTTTATATAATTACTACAGATATTGTTAATGAAACAACATGAGGGAAATATGTATGCAGCATTAATAATACAATTACATTTTACAAAATGTGTACATATGTAAGTGTTTGTTTCAGATAATACTGTACTTTTATGGTAAACAAATATACATGAAAAAACAAACAATGGGTTTGGGGGTACAGTCAGATTTTATTTATTTATTTATTGTAAGAAATTAATACTTGTATTATTTATTTATTTTAATATATATTTTATAAAAAAAAATTATCACAGTTTCCACAAAAAAATGCTTAACAGCAATAATAATAAAAAAAACTTTTAGCATATTAGATTTATAAGATTATTTTAGATGTATTTTTTTTATTTATAACAGAAGATTTTTGTCAGAAATTAATACTTGATCGATCGATCGATCAATCGATCAATCAATCAATCAATCAATTAATTTATTTTTATTTGAGAAAGCTTTCTAATAAATGTTGTTTATTAGAACAACAGCACGACTGTTTTCACATGAATAACAATAATAACATTTTTATTTCATAAGATTTTTGTCAGAATGTATTAATTTATTTATTTACAAAAGCTTTCTAATAAATGCCGTTTAATAGAATTGCTTAGTTGACCCATATATATATATATATATATATATATATATATATACACACACTACCGCTCAAAAGTTTGGGATCAGTAAGACTTGTAATGTTTTTTAAAGAAGTCTCTTATGCTCATCAAGGCTGCATTTATTTGATCAAAAATACAGAAAACAAAAACAGTAATCGTGTCACATGATCCTTCAGAAATCATTCGAATATGCTGATTTATTATTAGAATTATCAATGCTGGCAACAGTTGTGCTGCCAAATATTTTTTTGGAAACTGCGATACTTTTTCAGGATTCTTTGAAAAAGTTAAAAAGAACAGCATTTATTCAAAATAGAAATCTTTTCTAACAACATAAATCTTTGCTATCACTTCTTATCAATTAAACACATCCTTCCTGAATAAAAGTTTTAATTTCTTTCAAAAAAAGAAAGAATAAAAATTTTCTGACCCCAAACTTTTGAACGGTAGTGTATATTGTTAGAAAATAATTCTATTTAAAATAAATGCTCTTCTTTTTAACTTTTTATTCATCAAAGAATCCTGAAAAAAAGTATCACAGGTTCCAAAAAATATTGAGCAGCACAACAGTTTCCAGCACTGATAATAAATCAGCATATTAGAATGATTTCTGAAGGATCATGTGACAATTTAGACTGGAGTAATGGCTGATGGAAATTCAGCTTTGCATCACAGAAATAAATTATATTTTAAAGTATATTAAAATAGAAACCATTATTTTATTTTGTAATAACATTTTGCAATATTACTGTTTTTTTTCTGTATATATATATATATAAGTTATATTTATGGGCTTTTTGTGCCATTTATTTTGAGAGTACAGTGGAGAGATGACAGGAAAGTACTGGGGTGGAGAGGTGGGGAGCAGGATCAGCAAAGGACCTCAAGGTGGGATTCGAACACGGGTCTCTGTGAGCACAGTTGTGCTATATGTCGATGCACTAACCACGAGGCTATCAGCGCAGACAAGTTGACCCATATTAATATGGGTCACTGAAGACTGAGTAATGGCTGCTAATCATTTAACTTTGCATGACCAGAATAAATTAAATTTTAAAATGTATTAATATTCTTATAAATTAATAATTCACAATATAGTTTGTTTGTTTTTTGCACCAGCATAATAGGCTTTTTTTATTTGCACTTTATGTATGAATACAAATAAGATCTGCATTGTATGTGCAGTTATATTTATGGGCTTTTTGTGCCATTTATTTTGAGAGTACAGTGGAGAGATGACAGGAAAGTACTGGGGTGGAGAGGTGGGGAGCAGGATCAGCAAAGGACCTCAAGGTGGGATTCGAACATGGGTCTCTGTGAGCACAGTTGTGCTATATGTCGATGCACTAACCACGAGGCTATCAGCGCAGACAAATTGACCCATATTAATATGGGTCACTGAAGACTGAGTAATGGCTGCTAATCATTTAACTTTGCATGACCGGAATAAATTAAATTTTAAAATGTATTAATATTCTTATAAATTAATAATTCACAATATAGTTTGTTTGTTTTTTGCACCAGCATAATATTGTTCAACTCTAGGGGAGTTGGAAAATGAGCCTATTTTCAAAATTAGTGGAGTGTTCCTTTAAGTCGCTGGGGTATATTTGTAGCAATAGCCAACAATACATTGTATGGGTCAAAATTATCGATTTTTCGTTTATGCCAAAAATCATTAGGATATTAAGTAAAGATCATGTTCCATCAAGATATTTTGTAAATTTCCTACCATAAATATTTGTGATTAGTAATATGCATTGCTAAGAACTTCATTTGGACAACTTTAAAGGCGATGTTCTCAATATTTAGATTTTTGTGCACCCTCAGATTCCAAAATGTTCAAATAGTTGTATCTCAGCCAAATATTGTCCTATCCTGACAAACCATACATCAATGGAAAGCTTATTTATTTATTAGCAATTTATTTTAGAAATTGACCCTTATGTCTGCATTTGTGGTCCAGAATCACATATTTTGAAAGAGCTTTTTATTTTTATTTTTAATTAGTAATTTTGTTATGTGCTATTATGATTTTCATCAGCTTTTTTGTAGACATTTGTATCTAACTTCAATTAATGTTTTATTTCAGTAATTTTGTACCTCAACTTAAAGTTAATTTCAGTTAGTAAGTAAGCCAAAAAAAGCGTAATATTTTCTATTTTATTTGAATTAATGAAAAGAAAAAATGTTTTAATCACCAAAAAGAACATCAAAGTATATATTGTGTTTAATAGCATTCAACCATGTAAATTATATAATTTTAACAAAATATATATTTTTTTGGGGGGGGGGAATTAAATGTGGAATTAAATCTCATTTCTCTTTCTAAGGTTAATTTCATAGCTAAGATTTTATGTATTGAATTAAATAAAAGGTTAATACCTTTTACATCATTTAACACAATTACAGCTTGATTGGAAATGGCACTCAATAAAACATGCTGTTCACAAATGATAGGTTATTTATCTTGATTTCATCAATGCTCATATTTCATCAATGCTCTTCATTGACACTGTTGTCTTTTTTCTATCCCACTAAGTCCTCTAAGTCCACTCACCAGCATGCAATGGATTCTGTTTTCTCTGAGATCAGCTGAGGGAGCCTGCAGGAGCCTCCAGTCACGACCTTTGTTATAGGTTATGTAAGTCTTCACCTCATTATTTAGCTTCTTATTAGCCAAGAACATGCCTTTTATTCCTGCCACCTAGGGACGGGAACATAAACAAAGAAAGATAATGAGGAAGAGATAAATCACTAATAATCATATCCCTAAAGTTACACCATTTCCTCCTATAGAAAGAAAAAAAAAACAGCCTGTGATGCATTTGTTACTTTGTGTCCCTGTGGCACAAACCAGCCAAGTGAACTTCTAAAAAGCTCCATACATATAGCAGTTCCTGGTAAGATCTATCTATTGGAGTGTAATGGGAGTATGTAAGGGAATGAGAAGGTAATCCATGTCTGTCCTGAACAGAAGTGACATCTCTTCAGGGCCAGGAAGCACTAGAGAGGAGGAGAGGCAGCCCGGGATGGGCCTCGAAGGGCACTGACTATTCAATAATTGACGAATATTTCAATCTAGCCGTCGGCTGAGATTTTAGCATATGTTACACGGAGGTGGCAACCTCAATCAAGTCACCAGACTCTTCAGCCTATCCGAGGGCCAAATGTGATTTTATGGGGGTTACTATCATCAACAGTTTAATTATTTGATCAGGAGATAGCTTGACACCTGCTGGCCTCTGTTGCAATGCGCGGCTGCATGCGCTGTTTCATCCAGAGGTGTATGAATAGAGATCTGGTGTATTCTTCAAGAGACGAGTTGTCTTCACCCAAACCCTAATTGCTGGCTTCAGTCCAGCCTTTGTACGCGGGCAGAGCTATCAGACCAATTTAAGAGCTATAAAAACTTGGGAACTAAAAGCACTCCAAAGCCCTGCCTGCTCTCAGATTGTAAGGTATCTTGTCGCATACAGGTATTTGGAAAGACATCGATCAGAGTTAAATACTGAAAAGGTCAATAGTACATCAGGGATAGGAAACATTTTTGTTCAGACTGGCTGCAAAATAGTTTTTAGATTCAAATCCAGTTGTTTAGTTGTTTGTAGTCTTAGCACACACACACACACACACACACACACAGACACACATACAAATACACACACACATTATGACATTTTAATTTATTTTTCCCTGTTGACAAAAAATAATTTTCAGTAGTCATTAATTGTCTACAGTCTTCAGCATCACATCACATCTATCTATCTATCTATCTATCTATCTATCTATCTATCTATCTATCTATCTATCTATCTATCTATCTATCTATCTATCTATCTATCTATCTATCTATCTATCTATCTATCT